TTAGCACTCACCGTGGTGTAAATAATCCGAAGGTCAAAATTAAGTTTAAAATGCAAAACACAGGATTTGTCCAAAACATCGTAATATTTCTCCTTAGGCAAAAGGATTATGGATTAGGAACGTGAAGTCGTGATGCTTCCTAACTGAATGATGTTGAAGGCTTCGCCAATGTTCGTCAATGAGTCATTAGTGGAGTTATTTGTAAGGTGATCCACAGAAAGAAAATATAAAACACGATATTGTAAGTGATATTCTATCCAACTAAAGACAGTTCTAGAGAAAGGGAAACATGAGCAGCGAGTGAGGTTAAATATATATAGCTGTACATTTTACATCTGTGAAAACGAAATAGTGGGAATGAGAATTTTCTTAGCTGAATTTTCGGTTCGTATCTAATTGGGGATTATTAATTTAAATATTGTTTCATTTAATATTTATTCATTTATCTATATAGTGACAGAACAAACCGAATAAGTAGTGTTTATCTACTGGGTTGGATGAAAATAGAAAACAGTGTGAAATGTGAAAGAATCGATTCTTACAGATTCATACAGAGTGGGCGATGAAAATTTCCTACTGGCTACTCACTCACCTGACAACTTTTGTAACCGTGATCAGACTTGTTCAGTTCTCCTTCCTCACAATGTATCAATCTGTTTAGATCAATCAACACTGTCGTCTCACATTTCACGATATTTCGGAGCAGCGCGCAGCTTAGCACGTTTCTCGCACACTTACTACTTATTTCTTCACGTTATAACTGACCATTACTATACTTGAAATTATATCCTCAACAATAAATATTCACTGAAATCATCAAGTGTTGTTCTACATAGATTTGAGTGTTCACAGGTTTGATCACGATGTGACGTCAGTTAGGGAATCACTGGAAAGCATGAGAGTACTAGATTTGTTTCATCCTAGTTTTCGACTTCCTCAACAGCACTCACTGACTGTCGAACCAAGAACCGCCACATTATTTATTTATCCAAAATTAAATTTGTTTTCGTTTGCCCCAAAGAATGAGATGCAAAGCGATTTTGTTTTTCTGACATTTTTCTGCTTCCTTTCAATATGCTTGTCAAAGTATTATTCAATTATTATGGATAAGATTTTATTTCGATAAATCACACAGTGTTGTACAATCGTAATAACTGTACAACACTGTGTGCTTTATCAAAATAAAATCTTATCCATAATGAAGTTATACTCTGTCACAGTGCCCAAATTTTATACCTATATCAAGAATACTGATATGTCTTATGGAGACCAATAGTGAGATATTTACCAGAATTTAGCAAATCTAAGCTTATATTTTGAATAAAGAAAGAATGAAGATATCTCGGCGATTAAAGGAGCTCGTTTTCTTCCGTGGATTCCTTTCAAATGCGTACATCCTTAATAAATCAACTATATGTTAAATGTTTTAATTGTCAAAAAATCCAAAATAGGCTTGGAATTATATGTGACAAAATTTCTGAACATACTTTTAACAATGATTTCAAGTTATAGATAGAAAGTGTGAGCAACATAATTTCAAAGATGGTGTAAGGGAATAATTATTTAGTATAAATAAATGAACTATTTATATAGTAATTAGAAAAAAGGACGGAGTTCTGTCTTCTTTTCATAACAAGGATGGACTAAAGACAAATTTACAAGACAGAAAAACAGAATACAGGAGAGTGCGGGTGAATAGTGAGGTAAAACCACTAAATAGATAAAATAATTTAATTAGCAGATTAGAAACTTAATAGGGAATTCAAGCCTGCTCATAAGTAGAAAATTAATCACAGTTCTTCAGTATGAGGCAATTTCCACTTTGTCGACTAAGTTAATTCCTGAAGATAAGAAACCATGTGCAAATAATAAAATACCCGAAAATTCCTTACGTCATGTAATAATGTTCACAATCCATATACATCAGCTAGAAGATGATTCACTCAAGAAGCAACGATAGGTTTACTGACGAAATTCGAGTAATTATAAATTTGGAGTGAAATAGATCATCCGAAAATTTCCGAAATGTGGACTACCTCTTGAAGTGTTGCGATTTTGAGGACCAATGAGGAACAGTGCGATACACAGTGCTCCAAGTTCAGTTAAAAACTAATTTAGTAGTGATAAGTTACGAATGAAAATGTTGATGGTAGGTGATGATCAAGCTTACGAACTCTTCCACTTCATGGTGGGGTGGAAGTTCGAAGCAGGTTAAATTCTGTCTTACTCCTTCATTCTTATTCAGACAGTTTGGATTCCATTCAATGTAGAACCCTTCTGATAAGAGATGTTCTTTGTGATTTCTGAAAATTTTTTAATGATTTCAATATTCAGGTATTGTCGAAATCAATTTTTGCCTTATTTTATAGCATTTAGACTTGAGGCTGATCATTTCTCAAGCTTTTCCAGTTCACATGGAGGCTCTATTGTGTTCACTTCTTCTGATCTTGATATCTCTCGAGGTTTCGTTCGACGCATATCGCATCACATTTCAACCATTTTATTTTAATAACAGAGAATCATTTCGGATTCGATCTTTCGCAGGGAAAATCTTGAAGTAAACTCTGACGTTGTGTTTATTGAGTACTTTTCTGATATCTTCTGATGTCCTCCTCTGTATGTGATATGACAAGTGTTAAGATCCTTGTCTTCGGAATATGTTTTTGACCACGTTTAATGCCGTTGTCAATCTTGGAAGTGAAGTTTACATTTCTGTGTAGTTCCACTAACTGGTTTGCATTTTACGCAATTCTACTGAGCCATTCTATTATTCCTAGCCGTCGTTATTTATTTTACGAATTTCTTCACTGTGTAATAACGTGTTGCTAACCCCTACCCATTAACTGCTCTTCACTTCCGTAAATAGTTCTCATCCCTCCTTCAAAACTTAAACATATTTTTTCTAACATCTACTAGTTAATACTTTTCATGAATTTAACATGAAATTCCCCTCGTCAAATCCCTAAAGATACCTGCCATCTGGTGTAGTGATATTCAATATCAGCCATGCCATACCCACTACGTGACATACTCTTGAGTTTCACTAATTAATCTCAGTATGGTATCAATCTGTTTTCTCGCAGCATAATAAAATTAGCGACAGTATCACTTTTCCCATCGTAATTCATAGGCACTGTCATAAGAAATCAATCCATATGGAATGGTATGATTAGGAATTCCTGTAACACAACAACTTGCATGCAACGTGGTCTCAGCCACTCAAGTTCACCTATGCTACTTTACACGTATCAGCTGGCCTAAAATCAAAATGGGATTATTCATAGTATTGTTGTATATTAAAATCATGTCGACGTACAACTTTAGAGATGCATGTGTTGCTATTCATCCTAGATAAACAGCAGATAAAGAGTTTCCCATTTCAACTAACTTCAGCGTACGCCTTGTAAACTCCGTATAAAATACTACACACCATTACCTCTAGATTATGTTCTGCGAGGTTCTAAGTTCATCGGGAGTGTTAAGATGGAACAAAAAGATTTTAAGTGAACGAAACGACGTTGTAAACCCACTTTCAACGATTCACCTGCCATATGCTACTCAATTATGCCTTTATCTGAGGACTTCATAATAGTCTGTCATTCTTCTGAATAAGACATGTCCGAAGAAGCTTTTGATTTCTTAATATTCTCATAAATTATTTATTTGATTTCTTAGATAATAGAATATGCAAGCTAACGTGTGCTTGACCTATTAAATTGATTCAAATCTGTCCTACTGATGACATTAGAATATAAACTCATTATTTTTATTTGCTAAGACACAAAACATGGTAGCCAACATACATACTACGTAAATAGATACAATTTTGTATAAATTTCAAGCTACGTGTCTTTCATCTGGTAATAGAAATACAGTTAGATAAAGTCAGCTGGATAGAGATGAATAATTGTTTATCGTGACAACTGAATTAAGGGTGAAATGTTTGTACCCAAACAAACTAGAAATAAGCGAAACTGCCAACAGCCCATTCCTTCGCATTCTCTGCGACATATACATCGAGAGAATTTTGATGTGTCTACTAAATCACCATCTATTAAGATAGAACTTCCAATAAGTATTGTTACTGAGCCACCTTTGGTGGGAAGTGCTCGATTTTGAGGAAACACACTTACCCTCTTCCTATCCTGATCTCCATATTTTATGCCATCAACAAAATGTATCGTATGATTTTTTCATTTCATCCGGTACCGTCCACCCACCTAAGTCATAAACCTGTCTTGCGGTGAAAATTTTATACAATGAGTCACATCTACATTTGTTTCTGTTTAGCCCTAATTACTATAAAATGAGAAGCCATGTTTTGTTTATAGATTACTATATCTTTAAAGTTACAAACAGTGTTAATTACTTGGAAACAGTTATGAGAAAAATATTACGAATTCTGTTTTTGCTTTATCACCATCATAATGTATAAGGAAACAGTTCTCCATCTATTTTCCATTGAATTCGCTACATTTTACAAGAAAAAAAGAAGTCTGTCATTATTGTTAGTGGGTAAGACGGACTAATAAGAAGAAACATGGTCATTAAAATACATTTTCAACTCTAAAATAAACACATATGCGGAAATAAATGAATGTCTGTTTCCTTGAAAGTAATGATGAGGATATAAACCGTCGCTTTTTTCTCTAAACATTAAAACAATAAAATCTGATTACTATGTTCATTCACATTACAGTAGTCAAGCATTGATAATTATTGAATAACAATAGATACACTAATATGTGAGGTATACAGACATACGAAGGTTTTCTGATATCGATCTGTGTCCTCATAAGCAGTGGACACGTGCGTCAGTCATGTTAGTGAAAGTTTTGACAAATATGTGGACATCACTTTACTGTCGTCAGTGATGTTAGGTCAGCTGTTGAGTTTGGGCACAAGAAAACATGAATTATACAAATTTCCAAGTTTACATGGTCCTTGTCGTGCGAGACACACTCTTCATTCAAAGTAAACATCAACAACTCACAAAATTAACCTGTATAAAAATCAAATATCCGATGCACAAAGGATCAGTTTCACTTAACGTTGCCTCATTCATCTTTACTTACTTAGTGAAGAAGTTGCTTGTATGTCGGAAGATGTCGATAAACTCTAGAATTTAGTCTGAAAATATTACCTGAAGAGTTGTAAGTACTGCGAATACTAAAACTGATCACAACAAAAAATGTTTCTGTCATGGTAACTCAAAGTTTAATCCAAAAAATTCTGATAATCACTTTTTGATTCACCATCTTATGTTCCTCAACTTCATATGCTTTGTTGCTACAATTATCGAAAAGTGAAAACAATGGCGAAATAAAACATAACAGTAGACGATCAGTACTTTGCAATGAGACGGACAACTTACAATTGAAAGCTGAAACCATAAATAAAACCGAACCAAAACTGTTTGTTGCAATTGAGGAAGCCATGAAAGATTCGCGAAAGTTTCCTGATTGATTTTATTGCAATATCAGAATGGAAATATATCGCACGTATATAATTAGGTACTGATAAATATTTTCAGCTGATTCCTGGTTGTTTACAACATTCACAACGCGTTCGTAATCACAGTCAGTAGATATTTAAAAGTAAACTAACATGCATTAGCAACAGCTGTATTTCAATTCACAGTGAAGGGAAGTCGTAGTCGTTTTCAGATGAATGCAAATGTACATAATTTCAGCAAGGATATGTGTTATGAAAGGTTAGATTCGGTGGGCTATCAATTTCGTAAGAGACAGTAACTCATCAAACTGGATGCACAAAAGAGTGCATGCCTAATAAGACGACAGAACAAACAGGGGTTTGATGAAAAAAATGACTTCATTAGACACTGAATATTTCAACTCTTAGCATTCTGGAAAACGTGGGCTTTATTGAAAAAAATGAGTCGCTGATGAATCAGAGACAGTATCCTTGGGGTCGTCACCTCAAATCACTGTAAAATTTGTGTAGACAAATAGTTATTGCATGAGTTGTCGATAAACTACAATTTTTCGTTTCCGACAAGGACCTTTCTAAACCTACTTGAGTTTCTTCTACAAAGTGAACTCTGATTTATATAGCTTGCGTTACCATTTCATATTCATAGCTCACCAAATGTTCCTCTACAATCCGCATTGCATTTTTCGGAAACACGTTAACAGCACCTAACTTAATATTCGACAGTATTTTGAGAAAACAACAAATACTTGCTTTGAGTTCCTGAAATAAATTGGGACAGAAAATGTTTGCCCAGTTAAACTCAGATATCATGAGAGTAATGGTTATATACACCATAAATCTTACGCAACTGAGTGCAGCGCACTATAGAAAAGGTGTAACCACAATTCTCATTATGAAAATTACTCCATAAGGAATTCGACATGCGGAATGAAGCACTATTATAGCAAGTTGATTTTTATTTCCGTTATTCAAAATGGCGGCAAAGTATCTAGGATATCTGATTATGAATTTGAACATTTATCACAGTGAAAATGACAAAAGGATAGTGATTTTTATTTAGAGAATTCAATTTATTTATTTATCTGAAATAAGTTATTTTGAGGTTCCATGAATGAACCGAAATGAACAAGAAATTTCTGAATAATTTTAAAGAAAACAGCGTTGCCCTTTTTGGAAAGTATCAGGATATTTATTTCTTTATAAATATCCATTAACGTCGAAATTCCATTTCCTCATTCAAAGCCCTTCATTCGATATTTAAATTTCAGTAATGTGGAAATAAAAACAAATGACCTTCATCTAATTATTCATTGACAAATTATTTCAGTTTTGTCCTTTTCTACAGCTGATTTCCAATTGTTTACAACATTACAAACAGTACCTTACCTACTACTCAACAGTATTGTGTGAATATGACTTGAACTTACCATCCTCAGATGTCACAGCTTTAGGACAAAATGAAAACGAAATCATGTGAGTGTCATGATACCACTGAGTGAGATATTTTTGAAATCCTACCAAGTCACTCACAATTCATATCTATCAAATAGGTGTCGACTGAATACCTAAGTGACTATGAAGTGCTGTGTAGAAACGAGTACTTCATCTAGCTGAATATGGAAGGAAAGTATTCAGAATTATTGATTCTGAGTTCCAACAGCTACTTCAATGAAAATTCTCGTAGAACAAAGTGATCTTAACACAGTTCACTTTATTTTTGCTATTCGTCAGGTCATTTCAAGCTGTCATGGAAATGATGATGAAACTCTTGAATAATTTGAAGAAGGTAGTGTTGCTCGAGTCGAAAATATATGCAACGCTTCATTTCTCGGTGAATTTCCATTGAGGTCAGAATTCCGTTTCCCCACTTGTATCTCTGTATTCGATATTTATTCATTAGTAATGTGGGCATGAAAGCATGTCTCATTCTACTAACCATTCACTTGATAATTATTTTCAATTTGATCCTTATTTGCATCTGATTCCTAACTGTTTACTACACTCACCACATATGTGTAATCACAATCAATAGGTATTTTAAAGTAGCCTAACATCATAAATACGCATGATGTAATAGCGCGGTCAAGATTAGTCTTAGTAATTTTTATAGAAATTCAAATATACAGAATGTCAGCAGGAAGATATGTTATGATGAGTCAGAGTCAGTGGTTGTTCATTTTGTAATAAATATTCACTCATGAAACAACAAATATAATCACTTATATTTGTAAAAAAGTATATTTGTAAAGTCTCAATGAGATTGAAATGAGTATATATAAACCTATGTTATGTTAATTTCGATGAATTTCCCTGAAGACGTCCGGACCAGATTGCCGAACGAAACGTTGGAATTACTCATTTCAATCTCGCTGAGACTTTACAAATATAATTTTTTACAAAGGTCTACTTCTCACTCGGCGCCCAAATATTTTAGAACTATTCTGTCAAATCTTGACGACAGTCCATTTGAATTATAATCACAGGATCATTTTGTACTTTTTGTCTGTCTGATAGACTTGCGATTTCCGAAAGACAAGTGTATAGTGGGCAAAAACTACACACGTTTTTCGAGTGATATACCATGATAAAAATCAGAAGAGATGCAAGTGTGTGGTGATTTTTCATATAATAATATCATTTTTATAACAATGAAAAGACACTGCAAAGACATAAACTAACTTGTGCAGCCTGAAAATAAACCACACAATTCACTCCAAATAATATACTGAAAGTAGTGTCATTTAAAAATGTATGTGGCCACCATGTCAGTGAACCCATCACTCTGACATTTCTGCATAAAACAACACTGTGTGAAACACACATTTTCGACACAAATTGCAGTGCTATAGAAAGTCATGAGATATATTATTGAGCGATTGATATAGATTTTATTTCGTTTAATTTAGTTGATTTAACCGGAGTTCGATCCCCAGCCGACGCATGAGGCTAGCAAACCCATCCTGTAAAATAAACACTGCTACAGAAACTTCAAGCTTCTAGCTTGAAGCCCTATGTTCCACTGGGGAACGTGAAGGATAAAAAAAACAACCAAAAATTCACTAATGCTCAGACATAACCAACTTACAATTTCGATGATATTTTTCTTCTAATAATAAATAATTTGTAGGTAAATTCTGCATCATTTATTACAGTGCACTTAAAATGAAATATTTTCAGGCTCTAAATAAACGAATTTAACTGGAAGTAATCAGCAGTACATCAAATTATTTGAAGTTCGCGATGGTATCTCAGAAATAAATAATGTGCTATCAGATATAAACATAAATGTTGATTCCAACGATGAATGCAATCAGCTATAGTAACAACAAATTCATTCTGTTAACTGAATAACTTCATTTATAATTAGATGCTACAAGTGTCTACTGTCCCAGGAAATGAGGTTGAGGATGCTGAAGAAAACGTACATGAGTAAATGAACTTTCTATGTGTCATAATATTGGTTTATTTAAATTAGGACCGAAGACCAGCGAAATGTTTAAGTTCTTCTTCAGAAACCTACAACTATTAGTGCGTGATATACACAGTACTTTACCGCTGTGTTCCACAAATGTGTTACCACCACTTGGATATATTAATTAAGCGGGTCAAGTAACATAGTAGAACGTCTTAATATGACCATACCTCGGAATGCACAAATCAAGAGTATTTATGGTTTTGGATATTCACCGCGTATAGTTTGCTTGATTATCATTAATATCTAGTACAAAACTTACCTAGAGCACTAATTGAGTCCTCTGTAAGAAAATTAATAATATAACCAGATGTACTTAATAGGTCAAATATGTATATCGGCTGAAGTGTATAGCATTACACGTGTTAAAATAAGACGTGATAACGGCTGAGCTGTCGTAACATCAAAGGGTGATATCTTCATTGATTTCTGCTACTAAAAGCTTTATGACACTATAATGAATCATAAATGACAGTGCAGTTATAGGAGCACAGAAGTGGAGCAGTTTGGCAGACCAGGTTCACGCACGGGAAGTCGAAAGACAAAAAGTGAAAAATTAAGATTGTGTTGCATTACAGTCCTTTAACATCATTGAGATAATATCTAGTTTGTAGGATGAATGGCAGTAATGTAATAGTACTGTTAATCACAACAGTCAAACAGTTTGGTAAAGTAGGGAAATAGGTGGCCCAAAATAAATATTTTGGTGATTGCCATAACAGTAAACTTTAGGCACTGTGATAGAATGTAATACAACAAATAGTGTGCATTGTCAGTGCATTGTCAATAAGTGGATGACGCCCATAATCATATCAATGATTATCATAATAGTTTTCTATAAGTTATGCTTACTATCTCAGCTGTTTCTTCGAACTTAAGAAGTTGACTCATTTCCTCTTAAACAACGAAAATGATCTTCAAATTAGTCAGACGATTTCCAAACAGTCAGCTGTCGAATATCACATAAGGTTGATGATGTGCGCTGCTTTTGCCAATTTCTAGTAATTCATAAATTATGACGAACTTTTAGAAGTTCTTACCCATTAAGCTTTTAACAAACAATGAATGTTGGTTTGAACGGACAGTTTCAAGAACTCACCTAATGTTTTGCATGCGTTCTCCAATTCTGAAATGAAAGTGAATCTGCATTTAATTCCTGAAAACGGTGACTTGACAGAATACAGTGCACTAAATATCTGTATCTCATTCAAACGCTCCTTGTAGGTTCTCAGGTCTTTTACAACACTATTTAATGTTGTCTAATTTCATTGCAGTTGCTGAGCAGTACGAAATGGTGAAAACTGTCTTGAGTTTCTAATCGTTGTCGCGCTACATGAAAACATAATGATAACATGAACCAACAGACAGTTCCAAGCATGCTTAATCTAACGTCCGACTACTGAGTCATGATGGAAAGCATAGTCTTTTGAATTCACCACTGGCAGTGTAAGGTTAAAAATAATTCTAAAAAAGAGAACTGCTTCTTTTCGAACTGGACCATATGTGACTTCCAAATATTAATCATAATTTTGATTGAGATTAATTGTGATATCTTCGACCGCATCTACCTCACCATGGTTATAAAGACATCTAATTAATACATATTCTTCATGAATATATCAAAAATAGGCGTGATGCGCTAGTGAAAGTGTAAATCAGAGCAAAACTTCGACGAATGTCTTATCTATTTCGATTCATTCTACAAACCTACTGTTTTGATTTATCACTTGTTTTTAAAAATTAATAGATTTTCGGAAGGCAGTGCATTGCTGCTTTACAGATGATGCCGACATTTGCTGGGCAACAAGGCATTTGAATTGTTTTATACATGTCGTCAGATTTCTTCAAATATTATCTTTATAAAATTAACAATTGTTTCTTTTAATCTGGATTTTTAGGTATTTCCGTTCCACTCAGTTTCTGTATTTCATTTTCCCTTAAGTTTCCGACAATCCGAGTATATTCCCGCTTATTTCTTCATGTTATATGTCATTTTTGAAATCCGTCACCCATTTGTTTAATATCCATACGGAAATTTCTCGCACTTATGGTTGA